AGTCTATACAATATTTTCTTACATATATTATGTGCTGCACTCTTGATGACTTTAAATTAAATCTGAAGCCTGAATGTGTTTGTGGTATTATACAGGGTGGTGAGCCAGATCTGTCCACAGTCTCCAAAATGGTGTTGAATGATTGGCAGAGAGGACGTATCCCCTTTTTTGTGAAACCCCCTGGACCTGAGGGAGATCAAGAGGTAAGAGTTTACTAAATTTCCAGCTGTGTTTTTTTTTTTTTTTACTTCTTTTTCCTAAACAAACCTGGCCCGTGTGTCAACCTGTGTTTTGTTTCTGTCACTTTTCTAGGACATGGGACCATTGGCAGTTGAAGGACCCTCAGAAGCTGTTGAGAATGTGCAGGAGGAACAGCCAGACAATCCGGATGCTATCTCAGAGGAACGGCAGCAGAGACAGAAAGAGCAAGTCCAGAAGATTCTGGCTAATGTGCGACAGAACTTTGGCAAGATCAATGTGGCACCTGAGTTCACCGAGGAAGACTTAGATCCTGTAGAGATGCCTGACCTTGACGTGTCTGACCTCTCCGGCTCTGAGGGCGAGGGAGACGGTGAGGAGGAGGGGGAAGAAAGTGGAGAGGAAGACAGGGCCGATGTTGAACCGGCTGAAGGAGAGACTGAGGACACTGAGCCCACCACCGCTCAGACTGGCAAGGCAAACGGCAACAAGAGTTCACGCGAGGTGATTCGTGCGCTGGATGAGAAGATCTCCAAGTACAAGCAGTTCCTCGACCGGGCCAAATCCAAACGCTTCTCTGCAATCCGGTCCGTTTTCTCTCACCCAAACCTCACTCACATATTTTCTTTGTTTTGTGTACTTCCCTAACTTCTTTTATCCAGCAAAGCAACATGAAGTTTTTGGGCAGAGATGCCATGCATGCCACGTGGTCCGTGGTAACCAGCCTTTAAGCCCCTGAGGACTAGCAGTCATCAGTTTGACTGATCAGTGGCCTGTTCCCATAACTTTTGCATGTCATTGTGTTCTTTAATCTGCATCTCCTCTTGTTGAATTTCAGCCCACCCACTGAAGGAAAAGGTCAAATAACAGTTGTATAGTTACTCTAAGCACTGTATAATTACTGTTCATTTCAGCAGATCCCGACAGAAGTAAACTGTTTGCTTTGTTGGGTAATGATTTACTTTCTTTCTTCTTTGGACAGGATACCTAAGGCACTTTCTGACAAAGCGTTCACAGACATCAAGACTAAACAAGCGGCAGCAGCAGCTAAGCAAGCACAAAATAAAGGTAGCCAGTTAACAAGCTTGTCATGACTTTGTATGGTGTTGAATGTAGAAATTATTTTAGGAAAAAAATCTTACACAATTATTAAGAACAACATGAAAAGCACACAGGCGTTTCTGGTACTAGTATGATGATCTCATGTTTGACACAAAATTCATAAATATAGATTTGTACAGTATTTACCTGTAGCCATACAAATTAGGCAGATCAGGCTGACGCTGAGATCCAGCCAGGAACTGACATTAAATTTGTTTATCTTTGTCTGAGTTCAGCTGCAAACCAGAGGAGTAACAAGAGGAAGGCCGAGGAGGACGAGGAGTCCGCTCAGACGCACAAACTGACGTCTAAACAGGTATGCAGTGTTTGTTCTCCCTGACGTCAAACAGATCTCACAGAGTAGACATGTTAGATAAATGCCTGTTCCTCTTAGTGATGTAACAAGAGATGAAAAACATGGAGATGAAAAAAAAGACTGGCCTTTTTTTAAACAGAAGATTATAATTTTCTTTTTTTCCTCTGTTCCTCTTTATCCTCCCTACAGAGAAGAGCGATGGACCGTGCTAAGAAGGCCAAGAGAGTTGGTGTACGCTATTACGAAACACACAATGTGAAAAACAAGAATAAGAACAGAAAGGCCCCAGCATCAACCACAGAAGGCCAAAAGGCAAAAAGATCAAAGCACTAGACTGGAGTCGTAAAACACAACATATGTAATAAAACTTTATTTAAATTAGCCAAAAAGGACACAGAGTTGATAAAGGTGGAATGCTTACAACTGTTAAATGGTCTTTATTGAGTGGCCAATTTATGCCTTATCTTGACCTTGACTGTTTGTATTTTGCCTTTTTTTAAACTTTCTTTTCCTCTTCAACCCAGAGCTGTTTTTGAATGACATTTCATTCATCTTTTACATACAGGTGTAATGTTCTCTTGATGTTCAAGAGAAATGTACGGTCATTGTTTCCACTGTACTTGTCATGCCTTGCTGTTAAAAAAAAATTAAATAAAATATTTGCTAAATACATTCTTGCCAAGTTTACATGAATTGATATCATTTAGAAACACAAAGATAAATGTAGTAACAGTCTGTACTGGGAAATGGCCACTTGGTTTTTGTTTGTCGATGTTACTTCTTTGGTGTAATGATCCCTTCCAGTTGGTTCTGAATAGGAAGACAAATATTAAAAAGTTAAGACAAGCAACACAGTTATTTAAAAAAAATATATATATATTTTTTTTTTTCTTTGTTATGTAATTATGAAACATCACCTTGAGCTGCTGGTTGGTTCTCTTTAGGAACTGTATCTCTTCAGCGTGCTTCTTTTCTTCCACCTGTCGCTTTTCATTTTCTCTCTTTTCAATTGCATCGCATTTCGCTTTCTGTTCGTTCAGTTGTTTCTTCAGGTCTTGTATCTCGTTTTCTTGATCAGATATCTAGGTATGTAATAAGACACACTTGTAAATTTGTTCCAGATGCAGGATCAATTATATAAAGAGCACTACCGCCATCCTTATTTTACAATAACACTTAAAGAGAAATGGTGCTCTCTGCTGGATACATAGCTGAAAAACAGCCTGACTGTATTCTGATGGCTTTGGATGAGTGGCAAACTTAATCTATATCTATTAATTGCCAATTGTTAAAATTTCAGATTAGACTAAAGGCATAAATGTCCTTACTGTTTTCTCCGTGTCAGCCTTGCCCTGTTCAGCCTGCAGTGCTTTCCTCATACCGAAAGCCACGCTGCTTTCGTACAGTGTCTGGTAGGCAGCAATAGTCATCTGAATCTCATTTCTGACCCGCAACAGCAGCAGACCCCTCTCAGCACAGTTGATGGTCACCTGTCTGATCAGCTCATCTTAAAGAAAGAAAAATATAGGGAGATCAGACAGTTGAATTTATAGTGTGTGTGAAAATGTGCCTTCATTGGAATATAGGAACATTGTTCTATCAGAAGAAAGCCTGATAAAGATTCAAATCCAGCCATTTTGATCACAAAACTACATGTTCTTTAGCTCTCTCTATGTATCTTCTGTGTATACGTTGGTGTGTTCATCTATTATTGTAACCACAGTGGCCTCTAAACACCAGCCTGCTTACCAAAGCACTGGGAATAGAGCTCCCTGCGGACGGGACAGATTCCTGTTTCTCTGGCCTGCCTTTGCTGTATCTTTGTGTCCAGCAGCTCCTCTAGGTGAATAACATCGGTTCTGGTACAAGGTGCACTTGACACTTGTTGCACCCACAGTTGGTTTCCCTCCTTCCACTCCCTGCAGTAGAAGAAATTGAGATAAATGTCAGTGAGGTTTGAGCTTTGTTGACTGATACATTGTAGAGGAGAAGAGCTGTACCTGGGTGGAAGCATGGTGTTAAGAATCTCCTCATTTTCCTGCTTGGTGGCCTCAGAGGCTTTTTGTTTAGGAGGTGGTGGAACGGGGGTAGAGTTAGCAGGCTGCTGAGGGCTCACTCTCAAAGGGCGTCCCTGTAGCGAAAAGTATTTTCTGTGACACATTGTATACTGTCTTTACTTAATGTTAATCCTACTGAAATTCTATTTTTAAAATGGCTAGTACACTTTCCTATATATGTCATGTATACTTCCTCCTATGGAGCTGTCTGGTAACTCACTTAATACATTGGCAGACATTGTTTCACACCCGAGCTGCGGCGTGTATATGTTGTCATGTTGATGTTGCCACACAGAGGCAAATAAAGTAGCTGCTGCAATGTCAGTGCTTGCACCATCTGCAGATAATGCAGCTTAAGTTTCCCCCTTGCTTTATAGCTGCCAGTGTCTTTCTGTGAGTATTGTTCAGTTTACATTCAACACCTGGATCATCACACAATACAATAAATAATATAAATATGATTGAGTTTGCTATAAAACACCACATTTTAAAGGTTTTGTAAATGAATATATTTCATTTAATAAACACCAATGGCTCAGTTTAACATTCAACTTTTTCTGGCTCTTCTTATTTAGACAAGTGAGCCCAAGTATTAACGTCCACCAATTATCAATAACACACGTTTAGGAGGACATGTGACTTCAGAGGTAACGTTAAGTGCACACACCAGGTTGTAAATATATTCTATTTTCTTTTGTATAGATTTTCTGCATTTCTCCTCCCCACCAGGCATCACTCCAGTCCTCCTCCCGACGTTAGTTTAGCCCACTGAAGTCGTTGCTGCGTGAACTCACCTTTGGCGACTTTCTGTCTGTGCTTTTGGTGACCAAAATTGGATTGTCGTATTTCAGAAGAGAGTCGGCTGGTGGAATCATTGTTGTTGTTTGGGTTTTCTTTTTTTTTTTTTTTAATATATGACAATAATGAAGCTATGCACCAATACCAGAACTTTCTTGGTGTGGGCTTCAGTTACCGAACTGTTGGTTTTAAAGTCCAGGCTCAACTGTTTGCGTCGTCATGGCAACAGCGTCGCGGCGTTCCATTTTGCTTTATCCCGGTTGGAATCAGCCGTTCGTTTCACTGTTGATTATTATTATCATATATCATAATTATTATTTTAATCAGGAAAACAGAGAATATACAAGCTGTACTGTTGCTGGGTTTTTTTTTAAGGGAAACATCTGTTTAAAAAAAAAAAAAAAAAAGCGAAAAATGTACCTATTCAATCTTAATTCAAAATAAGCATTATTTTTTTCCCAGGGTGGTGAAGTCATGACCCGTCCCACTCTGCTTCTGATTGGCTACCTTGGCACTCTTACCCTAACCAGTCTCACTCATCGTGCCTAAACTATTGACAGTAAGTTATATTAAACGGATGCCTAAAACCAAACCCATGGCTGTGGTCGTGGCGGAACCAATGTAAAAAAAAAAGCGACCATGTCGAGATAAATTCTCGGCGTACCACCGGAAGCGGAAGTGCGTAATTCGAGCATAACAGCCGAAGTTTCTGATTGCGAAATTTCTGAGTTTGCCTTTGTTTTTGTTTTTTTACACTCTATTGCGGGGAAAGACGATGTATGTGTAGTCACACGGCGGCTGAATTCGTTTGTGTATTTTTAAAATGACCAAAGAAAAGCGACACAGGCGGAGGGAGTCTCCGGAGCGGGAGTCTAAAGTTAAGATAAAGCAGGAGACACTGAGCCCGGTTAGGCCACACACATCCCGCCGCTCCAGGTCGAGATCCAGCGGCAACTCGAGTCCACAGAGGAGGAGAGCCAGCAGGTATTGTCCATATATACTCGTTATTCGTCATATCAAGACGCTTTTTTTCACCTTAACAGACATATTATAAGCGTTGGCTAGTACGTACTTATTAGCTAAAGGTGTTGTTTTGGCTGCGCAGCCACGGCCATTGTTGGTTTCAATAAATAAACTGTATGTTTGGGTATTTTTTCTTTTTTTAAGTAATTTAAGAGCCCGCTTTGTGTTATTCGTGCCACTGTTAGGTCACCCGCCAGGACTAGGGACCGCTCACCGGGTAGACGAGAGACGTCTCCCGCCAGACGAGGCAGCAGATCGCCCAGGAACAGGAGAAGTCCCCATCGTGGTGCAGATGTCAAAATAAAGCGGGTGATTAAGCTCTACGCTAAGTTATTAACGACATACAAATGCAGCTTTGTAAGAATCAACAGATGCGCCAAGACCGAAAAGTGGCGACACGGTAATTCACTGTTTGACTGACATGTGTTGTGGCACATACTAATAATCATAAAGAGCTTCACGTGGTTAAACGTGGAATAAAACATTTCAGGACTTCAATGAGGCAATAACAAAAAGACAATTCAAATATGAAATAAAATAGCCAACAATAAGATCCAAACAATTATAATAGTGAAATAGATAAGACATCTTGGACATAAAACTGCTCGTATAAAAAGCTTTTTTTTAAAAGATCTGTTTTGAGATGCAGCCACAAACTGCTCTTCCCACGGACTCTTACAGGCATGTGCCCTTTTTTACTATTTGTACCTTATTTGTGCCCTTGCTGGACTTGTATAAGGTCCTCATAGTGTATATCACACACTTCAATTCAATTTTATTTGTATCGCTCCAATTCATAACAGAAGTTATAGAGGTCTAGACCGAACTCCTTCTAACATTTACAGAGCCAACAGTACCACCATGAGCAAGACCTTGGTGACAGTGGCAAGGAAAGACTGCCTTTTAGGAGGCAGAAACCTCAGACAGACCCTGGTCGTCTGCCTCGACCAACCACACGTGTTCCACTGACACATCACTTCCTGCTGGCATAGACCCATTTGGTATTACAGTGGCTATTTGCATCTAATGTAATGTGAATGTAACAATATAACCTCTGTACCTCTGTCAAATTTGCTCTGGACTAATCTTTTTTCACAGGAGCGAGAGGAGCATCGGGCTAGTGGCGATGAGCGGAGGAGAAGAAATGACCAGCCAGAGGAGAGGCGGAGCAGGTGGGAATCGGCCGGCCCCCGGGAGAGAGACCGTGGCGGAGACAGGCCGAGAGAAAGAGGCGCGTTTGCCCCCCAGCAAGCTGAGAGACAGCGGCATGACGAGCGGCGTAGGGAAAACCGCCAGCGGCGTGAAGAAAACCAGGAAGAGGATTTCGGGCGGTCTGAAGGAGGGAGTGACGACACAAATGAACCTCCTGCTGACAAAGAGAAGCCCAACTTTGAATTGTCGGGGGCACTGACCGAAGACACAAACACATTCCGGGGGGTGGTGATCAAGTACAACGAGCCACCCGAGGCTCGCATTCCCAAGCGCAGGTGGCGACTGTACCCTTTCAAGAATGACGAACCTCTCCCCGTCATGTACATTCACAGACAGAGTGCCTATTTGTTGGGGCGTCAGAGAAAAATCGCTGATATCCCCATTGACCACCCATCCTGCTCCAAGCAACATGCAGTATTCCAGTACAGGTGAGAATAAAACAGCTACGGTGTTTTACTCAATCTGTATAATTTAGACAACGTTCACTCCACGTTGCATTACACTTAATCACACACTTGATTAATACATGTCTACCTTTCTGTCTTCATCTCTATAGACTGGTGGCGTTTACACGTGCGGACGGCACGCCTGGCCGCAGGGTAAGGCCGTACATCATTGACCTGGGTTCCGGCAACGGCACCTACCTGAACAACCAGCGCATAGATCCGCAGCGCTATTACGAGCTCAAAGAAAAAGACGTTATCAAGTTTGGCTTCAGCAGCCGCGAGTACGTCCTCCTGCACGAGTTCTCAGACACAGCCGAGGTGGACGCCAAGCAGGAAGAGGAAGACGACGACGAGGGCCTCGATGAGTAAATCGTTCCCATAGCAGGATGTATTGCCCAGGTTCATTCAGGTTAGATAACATCATCATTAGTGGTAATCAAATAGTTGTTTCTACAGGGAATGGAACAATTAATTGAACTGGTAAATGTGGGACTTGGTTTAAAATAATGGAACAAGGCTGGTTTGTATATTCTGTAATTACCGAACTGTTGCTTAAACCTGCCACAACTGTCTCACAGAAGACTTCCTATTCTCAGGTTTGTGTAATGTCCGTGTGACGCATGACTGATCTCACACCCGACAGTGCTCACCATACAAAGTGCTCGGTGCCAGATAAAGATATCTTGCCGAAGTACAATAGTTCATTATATATTTTTGGATCACGGCACAGAGTACAAAGTTTAGCTGAAGATGTCTCGTCTATGTCCAGACTATATGTGTCAATGTACATGATACGTGGAATGTGAACTCTAGAGTTATGTTTAATAAGCATCGCTTATTGTCAGAGTAAACCGTTACAGACATACGACTTGTAATGATATTGCCTTTTTTGCTTTGTAGTGCAGGGAAAATAGTTGGTGCTGTTGTGAGTTTCCTTGCACCAGCGCTGTGTGTATTTAAAGACTTCCCCTTTTATTTTTCTCTGCTCTGAATCCCACAGCATTCATAGCAAATTTCCATTTATGTACTGTAAATAAAGACAGTGAAAATTTGGATTGTCTCAAGAGTTTTTAATGTAAATGCCTCATCGGAGCTTTGTGCATATTTTTTTATGATTAAAAGAAATGATTCATTGAAAGTTGCCTATGCTTTTTTTAAAATCTTAATTTGTTTCCCTACTTTTTGTTTCTTTGTGTTCATTCGTTTATTAATTCTATACGAGAAGGAATAAAGTCGCTCTACAAGGTGGCACACACACAGCAACCCCTTTCGGTTTTCAACAATCACCACATCACTCTTCTAACATGTAATCTAGCTGAATAATAGTTTTTCACAGCAGATGTCATGCGAGAGCCTCGGCTGTGTGTGTGCGGCGTCCAGTTTCAGTCTCAAAATGTCAGCGAGAGGAGGAGAGGGGAGGAGAGGCGGGTCGAGTGGAGAGGATACCGGGAATGGTTAGTGGATATGTCGAGGACAGAGGCGAGGCCCGCGACGACCGCCACCGGGAATACAAGAACGGGGAAAAAAAAAAAGCAAAAAGCCGTCCCTGTGGGTTTTCTTATGGAGCCCTGTCCAGACCTAAGGAACATGCATTAAAACGTCCCGACTGCACAATAAAGTCAGAACATGAATGACCACGGAGCGCAGCAATGAGCCCCTGCACGAAACCTGAGGAGGAAAACCAGTGGGGTGTCCCGCTGGAAGTTGTGGCAGGACCCGCTGGCCATAGAGCTAGCGCCAGCGGCTCGGTAAAAACAGATCGTTCCCCCACGCAGTTCCGAACCCCAGAGCGTGTCCTGCATACACTTGCAACGAGGACCCGT